GGGGTTATCAGGGGTTCTGGAATCTGGACCCAAAAAAAAAAAAAAAAAAAAGAAACAATGTTTGTTTGTTTGTTTTTTTGTTTTTTTTTGTTTTTTTTTGCGGGGTGCCGGCGACCCCCGACCAGTAGGTGCCGACCAGCTAACCGGTCGGCGGGTTGGCAGCCGACCGGTCAAGGGTCGCTGACGGTCGGGGTGTGCAACACTGCTAGCCAGTCTATTTAGCCTAGAGTAGTTAGGCCTGGGTAGGTTAAAGAGTCCAGTCCTGTCCAGTTCAGGCAAGTCTCAGGTAAGTCAGCAGCCCATGGTCCTGGGAAGGACAGGAAACATTCCATCAAACGCCGGCAAACCCAGGCCAGCAGGTTACCGTGTCCACTGGGTCAACGATCAATTCCATTCCTGCTTGCTCAGGAAGCGCTGCTACCCTGAAGCACGACCAAGTAACAAGTGAGACAGACTAAGTGATGCTGAGAGCAGCTGTCATCTACAGGTGCTGGGTGCCATAGCTGTATAGTAAGTAGTAGGAGTGAGAAGGCATTCAGAGAGAGAGAGAGAGAGAGAGAGAGAGAGAGAGAGAGAGAGAGAGAGAGAGAGAGAGAGAGAGAGAGAGAGAGAGAGAGAGAGAGAGCTGAGGCCTGAGGTTAGAGAACTCCTGTCTTCTTGTTGGTGGCCGGCGCCCATAGCCGCCCAACCACACAAACCTGTTGGGAAGGCGCAACGAGACAATAGTGGCCTTTGGAGAAGTGGGCTCAAGAGAAGATGTTTGCAAGATAGCTTGAGTCTCAATCTCTCTTGGTTTTGGTTTCCATATCTCCTTGTGCTTGGTTCTGTGTGTGTGCAACTTGAACTAAGATTTGCGATGTTGGTTCATGAGTCAAGCTTGGAATCATTACACGAAAAGGAAATATGGAAAAAATTCCGAAAATACAAAACTCTGGAAAGAAAATATGGAAAAATGATTCAAATCTCCGATTGCAAATTGCAATACGAAAACCAAATGTTCATAAAATATAAAATTGTATAAATATTAAATATTAAAAATGAAATCAAAGCACCCTCCTTTGGAGTTTGAACCCATGAAAACCTCATCCCTACCCCCCCCACCCTGCACCCCCTTCCAAATTTGATGCATCACCAAATTCAAATATAAGGTTGGATTCTGGCTGCTGAGGGCGAGCTCAAAGATCCATCCCAAAGTCAAAAAAGGTTTTACTATTTATTTTCAATCAAATGTCCTGCGATGGCTCTTGCCCATTTCTAACCTCGCCGGTCTCCCGAGACAGGCGGCTCCAGCCTGCACAGGTCCAGCTACCCAGCCGAGCATACCTTGCGGAGCGACTCTGGTAACAAATGTTAATTGTTTATTAAGCATAATATTTGTTATGATAATATGCCTTATTATATTTATTTTGATTTATCAATTGACCCCATTATTTATCTAATAGACCAATAGCCAGCTGGGCATGCCCTTGCTGAGTGACTGGTTACAAAGTGTTAATTGATTATTATTCATAATACTTGAAGTAACTTAATATTATTTGTCATTATTAATTTATTATTAATTTATTATTAAATTCTAGGCTACCAGCCGGGCCGCCCGGGTCACCCTATTTTCCCGGGAGGCCCGGCCGTGCAAGGACCAGGGAAGGTCCAAGCCAAAAAAAAAAAAAAAAAAACTATGTTATGCAGAAAAATAAGCTGAACAACGTTTGCCTCAGGGTCACATCGAAATTCTTTACCAAATTTAAAATAAAATTTTAAATTAAAAAATAATTTTTATTTTTTTATTTTTTAATATCTTTTTGGCCCGGTCGGGCAAGTGGACCCGGGCCACTCTGGTAGCCTTTTAATTTACTATTAATTTATTACATAATTCATATTTATTTATGATTTATCAATTTACCACATTATCTAATAGACTAATGATAGTCTAATATCATTCATGCATGCTTACCTCCGTGTAGTCTGCAATGGCAGCCTCATAGTTCTTCATGCGGTCATAAGAGAACGCACGATTATAATAGGCTCGGCAATGCTGAGGATTTAGTTTGATGGCCATGGTGTAGTCCGAAATCGCTTCTTCAAATTTGCCTAGCTTCCGATAAGAGAAGCCCCTGCATGCTCCAGCCATCATCCAGTTGAAGAAGCCTTGCAATTACTGACTGACAACATCCCCCCATAAACTCTTCAAGGCAAAAAAAAAGAAGGAAAACAAAAAAACATCTAACCGGCAGGCCCCACTGGTGTCACTTTTCTGCTAAGGAGAAGACCCCACTGGTGCTATGTTTGTGCTAGTGAGCAGAGCGCACTGGCGCTATGTTGGTGCTAAGGAGCAGAACACACACCTGCTACGTTGGTGCTAAGGAGCAGAACGCACTCGTGCTATTTCTGTGCTAAGGAGTAGAACGCACTGGTGCTATTTTTGTGCTAAGTAGCAGGCTCTGCCAGTGCTATAGTAGCGCTCTGAGAAAGCGCAAACCGGTCATTTTATGGCTAGTTCCATGCTCATTGCTTTCTAACCTCCGACATAGCACCAATGGGCTCCACCCCCAAGAAAACATGCACTTTTGCTTATCTTAAAGCCAGGTTCATGCTTTCTAAGCAGTCATCCAACTGGTCCCACTTGTCCCAAGTCAATCAGTCAGTGGTGCAGCCGGCCAAACTGAGCTCTCACCAGACTTGTCATGGCTATGACCAGTTGAACAACTGCATGCTATTTTTCTTTTGTGCATGTCAATTTCTTTCCATGATTAGCTCCTGTTTGTCAGCTTCCCTTCCCGACCCCACAAACAAGGCTAAGGTTTTGGGGGGCAAGCTGCATGACGGGAAATTGTCACGTGTGGTTCTGAGGGCAGGCGTTCTCAATGATCCCGCGAATTCACACTGCTTCTCGCACCACATCTGATTCACACTTCATCACACCACGCTCCAAGCACAAGATGCAAACAAAAATGAGATGAGAACAGTTCGGCAATTACTCGGAAAATCGAAGTCTTGTAAAACAAAGTCTCATGTATGTACACTGTACACACACTGGGGCGGCGATGGCCACCAAGGAACATCAAACAGGTATGACTCTCACTCTCACTCTACCCTACGCAACCCTCAGGCCTCTCTCTCTGTGAATGTCTTCCTCTCACTTTGATGTCTCTCCCTCTCACTTTACTAAGGAACAGGCTCTAATGCCAGTGTTGATGCTTTGCTGCTGCCAGAGTTTTTTTTTTTTTTTTTTTTTTAACAGAACCTGAGGGTTCTGGCTCCTTTTCCATTGTGGGGAGCATCAGTCCGGTTCCTACTCCACCGGCAAGTCAGGATGAATTGCATTGAGCACTCACACACGCTCCTCCCCTTTATGGTGTGGAGGCCCGAAGGATGACATTGATTACTTCCTGAAGGAAGGATATACCACTCCTCACCCCTGCCTAAGTTAGCCTGTTGGACCTAATTTGGGTCCTGTCCGATCTCCTCTGTGCCTGTTTGCTAACTGCATCCTATTTGTATTGGTCTGGCTGGCTTTTCCTCTTAGCCGTTTGGCTGTCGACATTGCTTCAAGTGTTAGAACTGCCTGCTCGGCCATTCCTGTCCTTGCTAAAACCCTAAACCCTAGTGTGCAGCTTGTTTTGATTTAGAGATTTAGTCCTCGTCTCTTTCTATAAGTTGGCCTATTTTCTATTCATGTTTCCTTGTCTAGTACTCTGATTGGGGATCTGTGATTCCTCACTACTAATACTTCAGGTTCCCTATGTGACTCTTGTTAAGTCTATAAGATCTCTAGTAGGTTCTGAACTTTCTTAACTAGTTCCTATGGACGTACCGGTAAGATGGGACCTATACATGGAGCTAGAACCCTAAACCCTAGCTTGGTACTTCTTTGTTCTTGACCTGTCTTTGGTGGTCGTATATGTATCGTATCTTGATATGGTTGCTGGGGCTGGTCTGAATTTTAGGTATCGCTTGAGAGGGGTCTGTACACAATCAACCTGAAACCAACCACCCATCATTAATCCACCACCATACCCGTAAAGACCTCGCTCCTCCCACCATTCCCCCTCCCCCYCCCCCCCGCCTCCCCCCAACCCCCAAACGTCGACCCTGCATACCACCACAATCTCCTACTTCCCCCCCTCTTCCACCCCTCCCTTCCCACAACTCCCTTACATTACCCAATTCGCCTGACCTATTGCGTATTGTAAAGCCTCAAGCCCAGCCACCCCCCAAGCCTCAACACCTCCCCCACCGAGAATACATTCATCCCATTACCTAGTTTGGAGGTTGAGAACTGGATTATCAGTATTTTTTTGTCGGGGTCAGTTGGGAGGTTTTTGAGTTGTTTATTCCAGAGGGCGTGGATTTCGGTGTCTATTAGTTGCTTGATGATGATGATTGGGTTTTCTTGGGTGGTGAGTCGGTCGTCGAAGGTGTTATCGCATTTGTTTTTCCATATGGCCCATAGGGTGGTTTTCTTGATTTGGGCGAAGAGGAAGGCTTTGAAACCTTTTGAGCGGGGGTGATTGTTTGAGGTCGAGGAATAGTGAGGTGGGGTTGACTAGAAGGGGAGAGTCTGAGATTCTACGCCATGATGATTCTAGAGCTTGCCAGAGGGATCTGGCCTTTGGGCAATCCATGAAACAGTGGTTCAGGGATTCAGGGGTATCGAGGTTACAGACCTTGCACCAAGAATCATGTTCCAATCAATTTCCTTGATTGTGTCCGATGGCCAACCATTGGTTTACTATAACTACTCCGAAGGCTAATAGCCATCTCAAGCTGGCCAGCTTGACCGGTCTTGTGGAGAATATTGTAGCCCAAGGAAGTTTGAAGTGGGTGTTGGCCAGTTGTGGTTCCTCCTTTGTCCACCTATTGCGTATTGTATTGGATATTGATATGGGTTTGGTGAAGAGACGATAACCTAGCTTTGGTGTGTAGTCAGTTAGCTTATATGAGTTTGAGATGAGGGTCGAACCAGAAGAGGAGTTCCATGTCCATTTAGGTCACAGACGCTAATTTGGGGCTTACAGACTCTTTTGGTGTCTCCTTCTATGATTTTGATTCTTCTCAGGTGGTTGTTTTTGAATACTCCTTCTGCTCTGCTCGTTATGTTAATACAACTTACCGGGTTTCCTGGTTCTTCTAGGGTGTATATGTCACAGCATATCCATCTCTTGTTATGGGGTTCTTGATTGAAAGGACTTCCTGCATTGATGGGGAGTTAGTGGTGATTGCCTCCACATTGCCATTTTTTATCAGATTCTAGTAGGGCTCGCCATTGTATAGGGATGTAGTATATGATATTGTTTAAGTTGGTCTGTAGGTGATGTACTCCTTCCTTTTTTTTTCTTTCTTTTTTTAACACGCCCCCGTCAGTGTTAGTGGTGCTGATAAGAGCAGACACCGCTAACACCTGTGGGGCAGCTCCATCTATTGGTGGGGAGCGACACCTGCTGGAAAATGCGTCCAGCATCCCTTACATGGGCAGAATTCGAACCATATAAAAAAAACAGAGATGCGGAATATTCCTGCCAACATTGATTACCCTGGGGTCCAGGGGATTGACTGAGCAGGATGTTGGGGGGGGAGAACCTCTTCACCCTGAACCTGGCGCCAGATACCTGCAGCTACACCCTAGTTCCTCCCATTAGTTTATCTCGTAGATCACTTTCTGTTTTCCAGATTTTGTTGGGATGGTCCCAACTGTGTTTGATTTGCCATAGCCAGTGCCCCCATTTCGAGTCTGATTTCGAGAGTGGGAGGCTTTCCCCTTTATCATTCTTGATCAGCAGATTGCCAAAATGGGGTTGTCTGAGGACTTCGTCTTTTCTCTTGGGGCCTGCTTTCTTTTCTGGGAAGATGATTCTCCAGGTGTGTAAAATTTGCTCCCAAAGGGATTTGGTATGAGGGGTGTCGTTTGTGTTCCGATGGAATGTTTGGTCGGATTGTCTTTGTTTCCCTTTTGGAAGTGGCCAGAGTTTGTTGAAAATCCAAAAGAGACCTGACATGTTGGTTGGATAAGTAAATGGTGCTAGTTCTCTGATACGGTTTAAGGCTAGGGGGGTGCAGTGTAGATTGTCCTGAAAGGTTAATCTTATGATCCATTTGATTTGTAAGGCCTGAATTTGACGGGTTGGGTTTAATACGGCTAAGCCCCCTTTGCTTTTTGGACTGGTGACTATTTGCCAGGCCACCTTGTGGATAAAGTGTTGCTTATCCGGATTTCCTGCCCATAGGAATGTTGTGTTTTTTTTCCTCAACTACCTTTGGAAATCAGTAGCTGGGAACAAATGGAGGTAGAATACCACATCATTGCTAGGATCGAGTTATTGAGCGCCAATACGTGTGTGTCTTTCCAGATGTGCATTCTATTAACCATGGAAGACAAGAGTGTCGTTGTCGATACTTGGTGACATCCTTTGAGGTTGAGGTTGATGCCCAGGAAGCGCATCGGTGATTCTGGATTTAACCATTGTAGTCCCGTCAGGGTTAGTTCTCTGGGAGGAGGTGTTTCGGCAGTCCTATTGTTTTGGTCCAGTTGACTTTCATTTCAGAGGTCGGTTGGCATGCTTGCATTGCTCTTATCAGGGCTTGAAAGGAGGAGTTTGATGCCCCGATCAAAATTGTAAGATCATCTGCGAAAAGGAGAGTGGTAGGGAAGTGGTGGGCTGACAACGTTTGTATGTGATGCTTTTTATCCTCCCAATGGATCAATCCTTTCTTAGGAAAGCGTCAATGGCCTCCATGACGAAAAGGAAGATCGGTGCTACTAATGTGTCCCCTTGTCTTACTGACCTTGTCATTGGGTAGGGGTTCGAGAGGAAGTCATTGACTTGGACTATCCGTTGCGCGTCATTGTAAAGTATGCTCATCCATTTTCAGAAGACGGGTCCTACTCCCATTTTCTCCATGCAGGCCTGAAGAAAGTCCCAGTTTACTTGGTCATACGTTTTTTTGAAGTCAAAGAAGAGGATGGTCGCTGCAATCCGTTTTTGGTTGATTATTCTTGTGGATTCACAAAGAGACATAACGTTGTTCAAGATGGGTCTTCCTGGAATGAACCCTGTCTGATCTAGATGAAAGCATCCTCCTATGATCTTGTTTTATTTTGGTGGCTAGGAGTTTG